TTATTGATTCATTAAAGAATTCTGAATTCTGAAGAACAGTAGCTATATTACTGTTGCTGATCGCTGCCGGTGCGGCTATGGATGTTAGCGCTTTGCAGTTATCCGATGTGTATCAGAGCAAAAAAAAAGATGTTCTGATAGATGTCCATCTAAAAGTGGAGGAGGTGGGGGGGAGGGAGGGGAGAGGGTTGGAACAATGTCTTCATCTGTAGTCTTTAAAAATAAAAATGTTGCTATAACAGACAAAATTTTTTCCTTCTTTTCTGTTTTCTGATTAGTCTTTTTCAATGAGTCCAAAAAAACTGTTCTTTCTTTATTCTTCTGTCTGTTATAACAGAGAGTGGTGTTCCAGAAGGGGGAGGGGGGGGAATCTTTGTCTATACAGTAACAGTTATCAATTTTGATAAACAGTCAAAAAACCAATTTTTTCGATAATTGCAACTAAACAAAACTGATGGTCATCTTTTTTGTTGTTAAGCTTTTAGATGATAATTTATTTACTGATCTAATGAGAGTGGTTTTTTTATTCTTTTTTTCGAAACATTCTTCTTCTATTGCTATGAATAAGTGATTGAATTAAACAAACAGAGTGTTAAGGTTACATTTTGGCACATTTATAAAAATCATTGGTATATAACATAAAAAAACTATTTTTTTTTTGTTCATTTTCACTCTTTCTTATGTCATTTTTTTTGATATTTAATTTTTAAACGATTTCTTTGTTTATTTTTACCTTATAACTGTTTATTTGCTCTTTGGTTTCTTTGTCTTTTTTTTTTTTAGTGCAAATAAATTGGCATTTAGCAAATTAACCTCGTTATGCAATGGAACTATTTCTTACTGTCTTACGTTTTTCCATATTTTCAACTTATTATGAAGGTAAGCTGAAAAAAAAATTTTTTTTTTTTTTTGAGAAATAGAAAAAATTACACTTTTTTTTATTGTCTGTTATTTCTAAAATTGTCAAAGATACGCGATTATTTTTGCTGTTTAATCAGAGCAACTTATAAAAATGAGCAGTTATAGTTTCTTCTGTCTACAAATTATGAACTTTTATAGTATTATAGAACTTTTTTTTTTCTCTCGAACATCAAGATTTACCATTTAAATTTTTGTGCACATAAACCAGTTCAAATTTTTTTTTTTTTTCAGTAGCTGAACGATGTTGTCCAGAAGATGTTCGTTGCTGTTTTCAACAATATATTATGCAAAAACCATTAAATGTATGTATGGGACTTGGTGATCGATGGAGAAGTGCTACAGTTTGTACGGAAAAAGAACTGAAAAGCAATAAAAGTGTTCAAGAAAACCGTAAGCTTTTGTAAACCATTAAATTGTTTTCTTCAGACAACAAAATTAGAACAATTTTTCTAAAACATTATTTCAGATGTAAACGGTTTTATTCTTCTGCACATTGGTATTATATACGTTAGTAGTATAAGTTAAAATTATGATATAAGACTTTTTTTCTTAGCGTTAATTAACTAAGCGGTTTAATGCAGTGCAGTAAATGGTTTAGCTATAGGAAAAAAACTTATCTTATTCAATATGTTGGTAATACTTACAACTTAACTTAAAAGTATAGTCAGAATAAACAGGCATAATTAGTCGTTTTATGCAAATACATTAAAGGTAATTACGATCGTTGTTGTTGTTGCTATTCTCTTTCTTCACCTGATTCATTTAAGCAATGTCTGCACGTTTCTTACCCCTCTTCCCCGCGTAAAAAAAAAAAATAAGACCACAGACTATTAAACCATATTTAATTGTACAAATTCAAAATTTTATTGCCTACTCAGCAAAATGCCTTTTTTTTTCTCTTTATAAGTCAAAAATAAACCTACACAATTTGTCTGTAGCACAATTATTTTCAGATAAACAACAGCAAACGTCAACAACTTCTTATTAGCACTTTTTTTCTTTTTAAAGGTTTTTCGAATTTGTTTGTTTAACATATCAAATGATAGTTAAGGTAGCAAAAAATAAAAAAAAAAAACATTTGCGAAATAAATACAACCATGAAAGCTCAGCCTTCTGATGCCTTTGAACAAAACAATATTATGTTATCATATTTTATGATACTGGCAACCAGCCATTATTTGTGGCTATCTCTGCTGTTTTTTTTTTTTTCGCCGTCTTCTTCAACCTCATTCTGTAATTTACTTTAAACTTGTTATCGTATTTATTTTGTCACTCAAACAAAGCTCTTCTGTTTCAGATGTAAAAAAAAAAACAAAGTAATGAGGAAGTAGTTATTCGAT